TTAAATGCATTCTCTAATTCAACATGTGATATTTTTAAGGAATCATGCTTAGCAGTTAATTCAAAATGCTTCTTTTTTAAAACATCAAATTCATCTAAAAATCCATGTGATTACTATCCAAAGTGGAATGATCTTTACTTAGGCATTCATTCTCTTTATGCAGAATTTAAAAGTCAGATTTATGGCAAGCATGTGATTTTTTAAGCTTCATATGTGTAGTATGAATTTTTTTTAGAAACTTTAAATAATTGATCACAGGTAAGTTCGCATACCTCTTCTTGATCAGAATGATTAAGATGATCATCTATCATTAAGCATAGGATGGTTACCTCCTCTTCTTCTTCAATTTCAAAAAAGTTTAATGCTGAGTCTGCCTAGAAAGCTTTTTGAGTCCTTTGCTTACCCTTTTTAAATTTAGCTTTTTCTTCACCCTTTTCCTTGCTTGGGTGAGCATTGAGAGTTGGAAAATCGGACTTCAGGTGCCCTAGCTTCCTGCATTCAAATCATATAACATCAGAAGAAATTTTAGAATTTTTATAATTCTTACCTTTATTCCATTGCTGATGACATTTTTGGTTTTTCATTAAAAAGCTCTTGACTTACCTAGTTATTAGTACAAAGTCATAATCATATTGTCCAAAAGATTTACTATCAAAATCATTAGACTTTAAGGCTATGATTTTCTATTTTCTTGTTTCACCTGCATCAAGCTGCCTTTGACTCATTCCTTGCTCGTAGGCAATGAGTAACCCAAGTAAATTATCAATAAAATAAATATTCACATCTTTAGATTCAGTAATGGCAGTAATTTTTGCATCATATGATTTGTAAGTTATATTCCTAAGGCATATAGGGAAGTAACGATCTGAGTATACCTAGTTTACATTTCAGAAATAGATTCACTTATCAATGTAATTTTTTAGGTTAAAGAAGATTTCCACCAACACGGTGAGGAAGAGTACCTTGAATCCTTTTAGTCCCTCCTAAAGTAGGAAGAGAACCTAAAAATCCTTTTACTCCCTTCTGGAGTATGCAGAGAACCTGTAAATCCTTTTACTCCCTCCTGGAGTAAGCAGAGAACCTTAGATCCAATGTTGATGAAAGCCTCCCAAGAGCCACAAAGGAACTAAGGAAGAAGCGTGACGAAGATGGGTGGAAACCTTGCTTGGATCAACCTTTATGAATCCCTCACAACTAACCCTCATATGGATATATATATATCTAAGCTCTCTTCTATTCCTTCTCAAAGCTCTCTCTCAGGTTAACTTACCAGTAAAAAATTTTCTAATAAGAGTATTAGAAATTCTTAAATAGTGGGCTACAAAAAAACCTAAATTTTAAGATATTTGTCTTTTATTTGTACAGTATGATACATATATCATATAATATGATCAGTGTATTTCAGACTCATCCAGTAAGTTCGTTCAGATGAACTATTTAACTTTTATATCATTTCAAACAATACAATCAAAACATCGTGTAATATGATTTGCAGAAATTCCTTCTGTTGGTTTGGGACGATCCTTAGGATGGCCAACTTCATACAGGGGTGCTCCTCCAGCACTATGGATATTGTATGATATGATCAATACAAAAATCATGATTTTTTTGGTACGATGTTTGGGATGACCAATTTCGTACACGGGTAATCGTACAGTACAAACTCTATCGTACAGTATGATTGATCATAATAATTATTTATGATTTGATTGCATAATATTGAGAGATTAATTAAGAAAGATTTTAATTAGGACATACAGTACAAACCAAATCATACTATACAATTAGTACAAAATTAGTATCTTCCTTAACCTTTGGCGGCTAGGGTTTTGACAGAGCACAACATTTTGTACAATATGAATTATTTCGTATAGTATGAAACCAAGATCATATAGTATGAACTACTTACAAAAATAACTCTCTCAAAAAAATTTTTATCTCTCCCTCTGTGTGTGTGCAAGATTACTCAGCAATGATATCCACCCAATTACATGATACGACTCAAGAAAGTAAAATATACATAATCAAATGAAAAATGATTGTAACCATAGTCTACCCAATCTTAAGCTGATCAAAATTACAAGTGAATGGTGAATTGATTTTTTGAACCGTTAGTTCACATAAAAATAAAATAAAATATCAAAGAAATAAGAGAAAGCAGTATCAGACATAATAATGCTTATTATCATTAAAATCACAGTGCATGAATCAAGTTTGCAACACAAGTCCTATAATAAGAAAAAATCATCATTAAAGACATAAGACCGAAAATGAACCCGATCCCTTATAAGCAAATAAGTAGAGTCGATAATGTTCAATAGATAATTACAAAAATCCCCCCTAAATACCCATATGGGCCTCGACGAGTGCGTTATGAGTTGCACATAACATTTGAGGATTATCCTTTTGTACAAGTAAATAGGAGTTAATATGGCTTGACCTATCAAACAAATATATGGTCACGACATCAACTGAGATATTTATTGTTATATATTTATATTAGGCCTTCAAAGGCCTATAATGAATAAAATTCTCCAACAAAGGTATAAAGCCCACAACTAACCCGATCCTGTGTCAAAAAAGTAATAGAGTCGACAGGGTTAAATCCATGAATAAAATAGCCCATAAACACCCTGATGATGACCCTGTTGAACATAAATCTCAATCGGAGGGGTCAATTCAAAAAAAATCAAAACTCCACCTAAATACCCACAAGATTCAAAATTTAAAATTTTGAATATTCCAAAATCAAAATTAATAATCAAAACACTTAAAGAAAAAATACATCCACCCGCGAAAATAATTTGTCGAGGTGGACAAATTCAAGTATCACTTCAGCTTACAAATAGCTAATTTCTGGTCGAGAATATTAGTAGAATTTATTCTCAAATAATTTATTGCCAGCAAGGATGTGACACGTGTCCTCTAACTGGTAATTTTGTCGCCAAATGGCACCGCAGATAAATAGTTATGTCTAAGTCCATATAAATCGGGTGGTTTGCCGCCAAATGACACCCCTAAACTATGGTCATGACTAGAGCTCGTAAGCTTACCAATGAAACTACATCTTTGAGATATGAATCAATATGATATAATCGATAGAGCACAAAGCCCTTTGTTAACTAAGGTGGATTTAAATTTGCCCCTTAGAAAAATATTCACCCCAAGTCAACAAAATACCCTTGGACGACACAACCTATGGCTTCTGCCAAGGGTCTTTTTGTTAGGTTGGGTCAACTATCTCCTTTTACTAAGTAGACTAGGGACCACAATGGCCTAGGATGATGTAACCATGGGATCTTGATCCGTCTCATAATCATTCCCTCACCATCCGCTTAAGTGCAAGATGGTGAAATTTTTAAATTTTAAATATAAAATTCCAAAATATCATTCCATGCTACTACTAAATACAAGATAACATGTATCTCTACGTATATGTTTTGATGACTAGCCTTAATCAAAAGTTCTCTCCCTTTATCGGGAGAGGTAATTAACTATAAAGGCTTATGCATATAGGAAACTAGAACTCAGGTCTAAAGGCCTCACAAAATGAGGACAAAATTTCTAGGTAGTGTCTTATCTACAAACCCAGTCTTCTTTCCTAAAATTTACCTCGAAACTTAATCAGTTAAAACTCCTCCCATAGGCGAGGGAGGCCGGGGCACAAATTTTTGGAGCACACAACCTCTTGCACCCCTTTATAGTAAGTGGGGTCAGAATCAAAACAGAATCATGCCACATGACATCCCACACACTCGCTTTCAACAAGTAGAGCCTAAATCTATCCCACATCCACACTAGGTAAATGAGACAAAAACAAAACCTATATGGCCCTTGTAACATATTAGAGTATGCACTTGTTTACATATCAACCATCTCCAACATCATATTTTGCATAATGCAAATACAATGCAACAGTAATTACATTAGAAATCTAATGCTAACTCAGATAATGAATGAATTACTAAAAAAGAACCATATTGTATGTTTAACAATACACTTCCTAAACTTTTTCGATTTAACTTCTAATTTCAAAGGGGAATTTATATAAAAATTTTAAGCCTATTACATAACTATTATAATTACCATAAAAGCCTAAATTAATTTATATACTCAAATATTCACATAGGAAAAACTAGTTGGTGAAACATTGATTTCATACAACCAAATTGCTTTTAATAAGGAGTACAATAACATATTAAAAACTATAAAGTGAAATGTTTGTAAAATAAAAAAAAAATCATATTTTTCTTCATAAGCTCGCTAAAATCGAAATCGAAGATAAGAGTTTAGGAGTCTTCCTTATGCTCTATAACATCATGAACAAGACTGACGAAGATAACCCTAGTTTAGCCATGAAATCCTCTCTTTCCTCTTATCCCTATCTTCTTGTCTTTTCTCCAACAAGGCAAGGGGGGGAAATAAAAAAGAGACAAGGCAAGAAATAATAAGTTTGCATAAATAATTTTAGATATTTTAATATTTAAAAACCACTAACTTGATCTAACACCATAACACCACATTATTATTATTATTATTCATTTTCATGAGAACTTAATGTGATAGTATTGCCAATTTCACCGCCACAACACCCACAGAGCAATTTTGCTAACTTGAAATTTCATTTCTGCAATCCACTTGGCTTATTCAAAACTTTCTTTAACACTCGAGGTTCTATAATTGTAAATCCAGTGTTTAACTGTTCATATCATTATGTTTAAAATTTAATAATTGAATGAGCTCAGATTCCGATTAGTTATTTATTAAAAAATAACATTTAAAATATAAACTATTTTAAGCAATAGGTGTTCTTATATTTAAAACAATTTGAGGAATACTAACTTATTCATACATGTTCTGACAAGAACAAGAGTTTTCGGATGAAATATTTTTTTATTTTTTTGGCAAACTCACACACACAATGCATACACAAAGACTCAAACCCAAGACCTCATAGTTGGAAGCATAAGCTCTCAACCAACAGGCCAAGGTAAGCTATGTTGAATGAAATATGACATTAAGGTTACAAAACAACAAATATCTTTCGACTTTATAAATAGCATCTCAACAGGAATTAAAAAAATAAAATAAAATAATAAAGTTAAAAATCACAGCCCTTTTACAAACAATAGAAACCTGCCCAAAATGGGGGAAGAAGCTAGATACTTGTAAGAAAGAAATGTTATGTTGAAGATCTATCAACATAAAATCTTCTAACACAGCCAAACTGTACAAGAAGACTAATTTCCTCTTATATCATATTCATTTAACAAATCTTCTATTAAAAACTTGCCTTTTAAACTCTTCCACTTGGTTGACGCAGCAGCCTTTGACCAAACTAAATAGTCTTAACATGAGATGATCTATGAAAAGGTTCACGGTGAACAGGAACTCCATCTTCAAGTCTTTTATCTTCAAACCATTTCACGACCCTCTTCCAAGGAAGATTCGTCACATGAACAATGCTGCTAATCATTGCATTCTTCAAGGCAGTGCAGCCAAAAATAAAAGTTAGAAACAACTATCTATATATGCATATATAAAAACTTCAGATTCACATAATTAACAAACAGCACCACAACAGCAAATATTTGGAGAAAATCAAATACAAATCTTAAGAGAAAAACTCCAATTCATTCAAATTTCAAGTCCAAGAATGACCGACAGTAAGGTATTATAATCATATAATCATATATAAGTGTATAAAGTTCATACTCACAGTGGGACGCTTAGTTCTGGCATAAACCCTTTCAAGGGTTATAAGTTGAACCTTCTTTATTCTCTTTTGCATTGACCATCTTGTTTGCATAACATGAACAGGAACAACTTCCTTGGGTTCACTTTTAGAAATGCTGATATCAGAATCAAAGGAAGATTCCACTGGCTCACAAACAGGTTCAGGGTTTTTAGCAACTTCCTCAGGCAAAGAAGCACACATCATTACGAGATTTGGAGGCGGTTCGCGAAGAAGTTCTAGCACACGAGCTCTTTCAAGCCCAAGCTCTGATGAAAGATTTTTTATCTATAGAGATCCATTGTAAACATTTTATTAGAAAGAAAACTAGCTTTTCATTGCAACATAAAGCCATTAACAAATAGCTTAAGCAAAAGTAAATTAGATCAAGAAACTTGTAAACCTAACATAGCAAGATAATTAACTCAATATGAATTCTGGTTAGATTAAGATTAAGAATAACAGGCAATTTGATTGTAGGAAACTTAAAAATATGTGATTTCAATAAAAAATCAGGTGTGCTTACACTAGCTTTACGACGACCAATCTTTAACGCATATGCCAACCGTCGAAGCTGCCAATTCTTAAGCTTTGGCTGCAACTCTTCATCATCGTCAGAATAATTCATGTCATCTGACCTAGAGGGAAAAACCTCATCAAATTCTTCATCACACAGGGCTTCGTCTAACTCCTGTTCAAGCCTAACAAGATCATCTTCGGTTATTTCATCTTTTTCGTCCTCAGAAAATATCACATCAGTTTTCAAATCTTCCTCCAGTTGGCTAAAAAGTGCTTCAAAGGCATCTTCATCTATCTTATCTTTCTCTCTGTCATTATGTTCTGGAGTTCTCTGACAACAATGCATACAGAAATCATCAATGAAGCTGATGGCATCATTTAATTATAAGAGAATCAGATCATCATAAAATCCAACTGATAAATATAATTTTCATACTAGAATAAGAGAAATCCAAAATTTTTGGGAGAAAATAAACTAGGAATCTTAAGATAAAAATCACTATATCAAGAAATAAATAAGAAGGGTGCAAAATAAATGAGTTTCTTGAATGATGGGACGCAGAAATAAACAAATCAGTAGATTTCCCTAGTAGACGGCAATCAGAATGCTGCACTTTAATGTAGAAGCCTTATTGCAAGATGAATTGAAAACAAAAAAGTATGCAAGGGAGATGATATCAATATATCAAACCACCGGACTTATGAATACTTCAAAAGAGGATGAACTAAGACTTTGTTTGGGATGGCTTTCTTACTGTTTTTTAAAACAGCTCTTTTGAAAGTGATGTGCTCATATCAATTCGTTGGTAAAGATTACAAGTGTTTAGACTATAATGGAGAGAGATGAGCCAAAAAGTAGGTATAAAGACTCCTCGTTTTGGCTGAGAACTTCTTGTATTGATTTTAAATGGTTTGATGGTTGAGAGGACATTGGGATTGCCCTTAGATGATTTTAGGAACTAATGTAGGAGAGAATGTAAAGGTTGATGAAGAAGTGGTTAAAAAAGACAAACTAAAAATTGGATAACCATCTCTTCTACCAAGGCTTGTCCAAGGCCGACCGCCAAGCTCCAACCTAGAGAATTTCACTTCTCAATTTTATTTTTTTTAAAACAAAAATTATTTCATTAATTCCAAGGCATTACTTAAATACTACACTAGTTCTAAATAATTAAAAATTCTAAAGACAGACTGAAACCAAAACCATCAAAAGAAAAAACAATAACAGGTATATTAATGGATGGCACACGTGGTATATTATCTGGTCCATCACAAATTGCCAAGCTAGATGCATAATTAATATGTAACTTAGACGGTAATTCATAGACAACCAAAGAATTATCGAAGGTAGGTGCAATAGTTGGTAAGTCATGAACTGTCAACTTGGACTGCTCTAATATAATGACTTGAGTGAAAGTAACTTGAGTGTTTTATCATTGATTTTAAACCAAGTTTTAAAAGGCAAAATCGGGAATCGAGGCGTTTTGGCTAAGCGAGTCGAGGCGTAAGCCTCGAGACGGATCGAGGCGTAAGCCTAAAAAATTATAAAAATAAAGCAATTTAAAATTATGAATAATGACAAAAATGTCAAAAAATAATAAAATATTACGTCAATTGTGAATTTGATGATTTGTTCTAAGATAACATTAGTATATTACTGGAAAAGAAGATTTAAAATAAATTCACTTAAAAATAAAACATCCTTTAAGATCAAAACCCAATGCAGGCTCATCATCACTTTGATTTTCTTCAGAAGAATCTTCATAATTAATGTCAAAGTCATCCTCAAACTCTTCTTCATCTATAATATTTTTTCCTTTATCCCCTATATCAGTTAATATTTTGTTAGCTCTAGAATGAAACAATAATAGCATAAAAAAATACACGAATCAGCTGCGTCGTATTTACATATGCACCGAAGAAAAAATTTCTGCCTCGAGGCGTTACGCTCTAATGCGTACGCCTTGTGTGAAAAAATCGTAGGCTTCGCTGGATGGTTCGAGGCGTAAGCCCTGATACGCATGACTTCCGCCTCGACTTGTGGTTGTTTTAAACACAATCATTCTCATGATATTTATATGTAACAATCATTTTATCATCTTTAAGACAGCTAAAAAGATATTGATTTATGATGCACCGACACTTCTCCTCAAAGAGGCGTGCAGTGTCCGACACCGTGTCCGACACGACACTCCTCCGACACGTGTCGGACACGCCGAAAACATGTCCGATTAAAAAAATATTAAAAACAAATTGGACACGCGTATCTTAAATATTTTCTAATTTTTTTAAAACATAATTTATTATATTTGGCGAGATTTAAACTATATTTCTTATTTCATATCCACAACACCAAATCAACGTTTGCATTTAATACTCATTCATCGAATATTCTCATTTTCATTTCTCTTTGGCAGTGAAGGTACTTTCATCTCCTCTCTTTTTGCACAATTACAAATCTTTCTCATGTTGAACCAGAGTTAAAAGTAGTGATACTCAATGATGATGATATTAAAGACCAAAAACAAACCTCTAAAGCTAATCCTAGAAGTTGAAACTTAAATGCTTGATGTTGTAGTAAGTGATTATTTGCTTATATTTTTGTGGTTATACTAGATATTTTGTACTAAATTTTTATATTATAAGCTAGACAAGTTATCGTGTCATTCATTTATTATTGTTTGTCATTTTTAATATGATATTACATTAATATATATACATTATATAAAAAAAATGTATTGCCGTGTCCGCGCCGTACCCGTGTCCTATATTTTCAAAAAAAGCCGTGTCCCGTGTCCGTGTCATGTCGTGTCCGTGTCGCCGTGTCCATGTCCGTGCAACATAGATATTGATCCTAACCATAGGGATGACATAGCACAATATGTGATCCTATGATGCACTAACATTTTTTTCTCAAAGAGGCGTGTAGTGTCCGGCACGCATTCGACAAGACACTCATCCGACACACCTCCAACACGTTTCAAGGACGCCAAAGATGTGTTTGATAAAAAAATATATTAAGTACAAATTGGACATGCGTGTCTTAAATATTTTACAATTTTTTTAATATAATTTCTTATACTTAAAATTTTTATTATTTAAAATATAAAAACTAAATTTCTTATTTTTTATCCACAATGCTAAATCAATTGCCCGTACTCAATATCCCAATCATTGAATATTCTCATTTTTATTTCTCTTTGGCGGATCGCGACTTTGGTTTCACAACAATGCCTGATGTCATATCAACATCAAAGTCTAACACTATCTTGACATTGATGCTTGACCCTAGCAATTTTTAATAACTAACTATCTAATGTATGTGTCATGTCGTGTCTGTGTCGCCATGTTCGTGTCTGTGCATCATAGATGTGATCCATATAACAACATAATTTAATGGGAATCAAGCATCTAAATGTCACAAGATAGGATGTGACATTGTCTCAATTCATTTTGAAAGAGTAGGGATGAGGCCTAGATTAGGTTTGCTCTTTTAATTGCTAATGGTTACATACCATTAATGTTAGCCTTCCCTTAAACCATTTGATATATTTTGAACATACAAATTGAGTAAACTAAAATATGTTCTCTTATGCCTTTTCCTAATTCAAAAGCATATAAGATATCGGATAAAGGCATGATTCTTCCCTTATTATCAATATTTCATGATGATAATCCTTAGATGTCATTTTAATGAAATGTGTAAATACTGATGTAGATAAGTACTTTTAAATTATTATCATACTTGTCAACGATGAATTGCACAATGTGACGCAAATTTCCCATGGAGTCATGGCACATAGTGCATGGTGAGGCGCGCACCATTTTGAACCCGATTTAAAATAAAAAATAATTATAAAAATAATTATATGGAACCTATTTTGGATTATTAATCAAGTTGTGTAAGGCTTGGTTGAATATGTTTGTGGTCCAAAGTTCAAACAATTAAAGTGAGCTTCAAGTTCGTCCAAAATATCAACTAAAATAAAGTCTAATAAAACCTAACTAAGCTATTATAATCATATCAAATAATTTTAAAATTAATTATTACATCATTTTAGAAATTAAAATATATAAATATTAAAAATTCTTTATAATTTTATTAAAAAAATCCCTAAAATTCAAATTGCACGCACCATGTTCACCGCGCCATGCAGCTGGCGACGTAGGTGCAACACGCCACAGCATACACCATGGCGCGCACCATTTTTCCATTAACAAGTATGATTATTATTATTTTATTTTATTTCAAACACATTGTGTACCAAACCAATAATGAAATAGATGCATGAAATATAATTTCTTAACTTCTAAGTATTGCATATAAAAGTTTTCAATTATGACAATAAATGTGCTCAATTTCCAGTAACTCACAATAAAATAAATATAGCAACAATGTTATAACTTTTTTCTACATTAAAAAAGTAGTTCATTGAGTTTTTAAGTGGATCACACCCTCTCTAATATATAATATTCAAGAAAATATAGGTTAAGGTTAGCTCCATGTGAATGGCTAAGCTATATAATGGAATTAGTTAATCTAACTTAAGGAATTAAATTAAAAGTTTGGCAATTTATCAGATTGTAACTAAATACATCTATTACGAATTAATTTTACTAATATATAGAATCATAAAGTTATGAAGGTAGTGCTTATTCAATAGAGAAATACTTTTATCTACTTCCCGTTTTGTCGATTCATGAAACCCAATTGTGATGACCTTGATGCACACTTTGTCTTCAATTTGCCAAAGTCCAAACTTTGACATTGATAACAAATTTGGTATAGCCATTCAACAACAACAAGCCTTTATCCCACTAAGTAGGGTCGGATCCTTTTTCTCTATTGTGTCCTAGTCAAATTCTCATCTAAATCTAATAAAGAAAGACCATTTCTAATACTTTATCACCAAGTCTTTTTAGGTCTACCTTTACCTTTCTTAACATAAGTCAAATCTAATGCATCTACTTTCCTAACCGGATCATCAAAAGGCTGCCATTTTATGTGACCAAAACATCTAAGGCGACTCTCTCTAATCTTATCTTCCACTAGAACTACTCCAACATTTTCACGTATATACCATTTCGTATCCTGTTTCTAAGAGTAAAGCCACTCATCCACCTGAGCATCATCATCACAAGTCTCACTATCATCTTATAGAATTTTCCCTTAAGTTTGAGAGGAACTTTTCTATCACACAACAAGCTTGATGCATTCCTCCACTTTAACCATCTAATTTGAATTCTACTAATAATATCCCCACTTATTTCACCATCACTCTAAATAATAGACCCAAGATATCTAAAATGTGTACTCTTATTAATGACTTAATCGTCCAAAGTTACAATAACTCATTAGATATATTATTACTAAAATTACACTCCATATATTAAGTTTTAGACCTTCTTAAACGAAATCCTTTAGACTCTAACGTTGACCTCCATAATTTAAGTTTACCATCAACTCTCTCTATAGTCTGATCAAGAAGAAAAATATCATCAGCAAAAAGCATACACCAGGGTACAACCTCTTGCAAATGTCTAGTGAGAACATCCATGATTAAAACAAAAAGGTATGGGCTTAAGGTTGATCCTTGATGTAATCCAACTGAAATAATAAAATACTTGGTCAAACCACATTGTTCTTAACAGCTCCAGCATACATATCCTTAATGACTTCAATATAGGCATTTTTAACCCCTTTCTTATGTAGAACTCTCCATAGCACTTCTCTTGGAGCTTTATCATAGGCTTCCAATTATCGTATTAAGGCATTATCAATGAACTAATAAACAATTAAGTGTTGTGGATAAATTATGTGAGGCGATGGTCAAAAGAGGTGATCAACCAAGCCTTGAAAGAGACCAAACATGAAAGCTCCATTTTAAGGTTTAAAATTTAAGGTTAGGAAATGGAGAGGGGTTTAGACCTACGTTCACTTGAAAGGGATAGGGTAATTATGTAAATGTATTATGTAGTAGATGGATAGAATCTTTGATGTTTAAAGGCCTTCTTGGGGAGTCGCTTCAAAAGTAAGTATAGTGGATCCTTGCTAGGTTGATTGGACAAGTTTAGGTTTTGAGAAATAGAGAAGGATGTGGAATGATTAGGTGATAGAATGAAATGGGAATATTAAACGGTTGTGCATAGACCAGTTTAGGAGTAGTTGGTGAAGTTCCCAAATGTTTAAAAGATGGTGGAGGGAGTGAGCAAAGACAAGGTATGAGAGACCTAGTTTGGGCCCAGAGATTTCCTGAAGGTATTTTAAATGAGTTGATGGACGTGGGCACTTGGAAGATGGCCTTTGATGATGTTAGGGGTGTTGGAGAGAAAATAAATGGTCATTTGGAAGTGGATGAAAAGCAAAACAAGAAGTAAAGAGAAGATAGCCAACTCTCCCACCAATAAGGGCTCAAGGTTGACAACGAAATTCTAACCCATATAGAATTTTACTCTTTTTTTTTCTCTAAAAACAACAAAACTAATTTAATTCATTTCAAAGCATTCTTTAAGAACTAAAACAACTCAAAATTCTAAGAAACTAAGTAAAAGGAGAGACATGTAGCCAGCCACGTAAAGAGGGCAAGAGTTGGAATCATTCCAAAAACCTATTTTAAAGCAAATTTCAAATTTGGAGCGGGTAGCTTGCTTGGCCAGCCTATGAGCTTCCAATCATTTCAAAATAAAATTAAATGCAAGGAAAAAAGTCCTAAAGCAAAAGATATGAATCCTTAAAGTTTGAAATTTCAAAAATTTTAATTTCATGTTTGAAATCCAAATTTTAAAATCAATTACAATTTTTTAGTCTAATTTCTCCATGATTTTAATAAATCTCATGCTTGATGTTGTATTACCCTTGATCTTGATTGATGCACGAAAGTTCTTGATCTTGTGATGGAGCCTTCATAATTGACATGATGTTCTACATTAAGAGCATTCTTTTTTTTAGTTTTATTAGAGAAGCATCTAGAGTTTTTTTTTTCATTTGAAATTTATCTAAAGAGAGGCCCCAAAAAAGAAAATATCCCGTACATCAAAAAAGGTGTACTTAGTAAGTTTTTCCGGCCAACTAGAGGATAAAACTTCAATGCTTCCACCTTTTGAATACCAAAAAACTTATAATCCACCTCAAAACTTGCAAAAAGTTCATTAATTGAAGAAAATGTAGAAATCATATTCGGGATAAATTTTAAACATAGAAGTCATTGTATGGAGAAGAACTAGACACAAATTATGAGCAAGACTTCTGCAAGTTAATTCCTCAAAAGATAAAATCATTAATAGAAATTTTTAATGAAACGAGAAATTCAAATCCAACAAATATTAGACTTAGACTTCATTTGGGATAGCTTTTTTACTGCTTTCTAAAGCAGCTTTATTGTTAAAAATTTTCTAATTCAAAAATTTTTTGTACTAAAAAACTGTTTTAGAAAGCAGAAAAAAATTGTCCCAAATGAAGCCTTAGGTACCAGTACAAAAGAAATGAATAAAACGCTTAACAAAGAAAAATCAATCGATAGAAATCTGCCACTGAAGGATGTCATCAATTGAAGTGACGGAAATGTCAGTTTGTGAAATGCAATAAAGGAAGAAACATTAGTTGAGAGAAAAAAAGAATTTGGCGTTTCGAATGATTCGAATCATGACCATCAAAGCAGTGAGAACTGATAGAAAGTAAATCAATTCTAGATAATAAAAAATATAATAAGCTACAACAAGTCATTACAATAAGCTATAGAAAGATATTATAACTGCGAGAATGATACATTCATTTTATCCAATAAAACTTACCATATAGGAAATAGAAAAGAGCAGTGCTCTTCAAATCCATGTCAAAATCAAGATAGTTATTGACCAAAATACTTGTTTTTGGCAGATAAAAAATTATATAAATTAGACTATCGAACACAAGAAGATTGATAAAAAAAATTATATAAATAAGGACTATCTAACACAACAAGATTGGCATAGAATTGGACGACCTTTTACAGCCTTGATCCACAAAAATTGCCAACCAACATTTTTGGTTGATCAAGATTATAAACTAAATTGTTTTACAAGCTTGAACCACCAAGATTTTTGGTTCAACCTTGGTTGATTAATAATCTCCATTAATCATGGGACACACAAGCTTAAGGATTGGGGTCAACAAGGAATTCATCAATAAAGAAATCCATCTTTCTTTAAATATCAGGAAAAAAGGAATTCACATTATCAGGGAAAATCAATCACAAAAGTGCAAGAAGATTGGGGTCATATAAATAGAGAGAATCTGTAAATACAAAAATGTTTTCAAAGGTATTTATCAGGTAGTTTCTGGGTGCTCCCTACTCACCTCAGTAATGTCGACCACTGTATATTTTCTCCACGACCTCAATTTGCTCATTTGATCACTCACGACGATCCAAGACTCAGCACAGGTTGTCCGCAACTCCCAATTAACCTCATACTACAACACCGTACTAGCTCGCATACTCATAGTTATCATGGAGCCGCCCTCTACCTCACTCGCCCACTCCATACTCGGCACTACCTCACTTTCCCAACAATGAATCCTACATCCTAGCTCTCATGCCAATCAAGAAGCGACAAATATAAAGTGTGGGCATAAGATATTCCGGTAATGAGCTTCTTGGGCACCTTCTCAGGCTACCACCACATCAATATGCACCATGAAAATTGCGAAAAAAAACTACATTAATCACAACAGAAGGTTTGTAATGCTACAAAGTCATGCAATCCGGGCTAAAAAATTCTAGAGCAAATTATCAAAGGATGATGGACAAAATCTTCAAGAAGCAAAAGAGAAGAAACATCGAATTATATGTAAAAGACCTCCTGGTCAAGTGCCGATCTCTCAACCAACATATCAAAGATCTCCAAGAGATATTCCTTACTCTTAAGACAAGCTACTCACAAAATATCTATTTAAATTCAAAGAAAAAATCAACCAGCTTGAATATTTCAAAATTTTCCAAATTTCCAATAATCTAAACCAACTCGCCAACCTTCTCTCTAAACAAGAAAGCATCGACGATCAACCTGTCATACAAATTTTAACACATAACATAAAGGAAGAAGATGTGATACAAATAGGGACGGATCATCAAATTCTATATCATGTAAGATGGGTCAACCCTTACATCATGTACTTGAAAATTGGATGAGTGAACACTAAGGTCGGCAACCCCAAAAAATTCAAGATCCAAGCATCAAAATACCTATTACTCAAGGACAGCCTATTTAGAAGATAACTCCAAACAAGCTCACCCACACTTGAAAATGAAAGAAAAAGAAAAGCATATGTTCACCAATTATTCAACCTACGCTTGGGGAACTCAGGCAAATGTGTTAGATCCTTTGCTATGAATATCTCTTGCAAGAATAGAGTTTCATCAAACTTACCCTCAAGCAAAAATCAACAATATTGTTTATTATCATCAAGTAAGAACAAATAAGCATTCAAACACATGCATTTCTCAATTAAGTATCTCAACAAAATAATAAAAACAAAAACAAACATAGATAAAAAAACAACCTTCATTTCATGTCTTTCATTACAAGCATTTATACTTACATTCTCGCAAAAGACTCGCTTTAGTTTCCAGTGAAATAACCCCCTATCGAAGATAGCAGCTCTACAAAGTCAAGTGAAATGGGACGAGAACCTCAACCCTCATTTCACCCTACTTTTCACCTGGCACCTCTCCTTAAGAGATTATTTCCTAGAAACACATCAGGATACTTGCATGCAGCTCTCTTTCCTACAAATAAGTATCCTGATCCACCGGGCCACTCAGGGAAAAGAATTACCTTCCTGACTCGCCCAAAAAAAAGAATTGGCTCCTCAACCTTCTTAGCAACAAAATCAGCCTGGGTTTCATCTCAGACTTGCTTCAACTAATGCTACCTCCTTGAAGGACCAATGGAAGAAAAAGGGAAAAGATGGAAGCCGTGCATAGACCACTATCCTACAACACCCTAGCCATCTGCACTTTCACTCTTCTTAAAAAGTGAGCCGCAAATCACCCCTATGTAAAAAAATATTTACACCGAAAGGCTAACATTAGGAAGGAAGATCTCCTTTCTTTTTCTTTTTCCCCCTATGTCATAGGGGGAGAATCATGAAATCAATGAAAGCTCGTAGCCACACCAGCCATCAGAATGTAAGCTTACCCATAGAAAAGCAAGCTCAAGGATTACCACCATCTCAATAGAAACTACCCACATGTAAGTCTATTCACATTCCAAAGAACCAACTCATTCTATTTATAGGAGGGCAACCATGAAGCATCACATGGGAAGCCATAAATCAAAAAGTGACTCATTACATAGAAAGGACATCATAATGACATATCAGAATAAATGCGCCATCTATAGCTACGAGGAAATCTATTTCACCTCCCAAAATATTCAGTATTCCGTATAAACAGGATAAACGTCATCATGGTGAGACAACGATCACATCATCAACAGCAAAATGTCTAAGCCAATGTTGTACGACTCCCCTCGTAGCAACAAGCTTCATAATGAGTAGCATGCAAATCTCCAATAGAAGAAGAGTCTTAATTGCCCCGACATTATATGCAACTATAGGAACCACACCAATAGCCGCTATACGGTGTAACCTCTCTCTTTTTTGTAACAAGCTCCATAAAAAGTAACGTGCTATTTCCTACTTAGTCAGCAAAGTCTCACACTACAGACGATGGGAATGAAAGGCTCTAACAGATGACTCCCTCTCCCTTTAACGCAACAAGCTTCGCAACAAGAGCAAATTGCTAGTCCCCTCAACTGGAAAGTTTTGATGGTTACCCCTGTAAAGACCAAAAGTCTGGTATAAGGCACAACTCATCAAAGACAACTTCGTACACAAGCGACGAACCTGCTCATCACTGAGTCGAGAGGGTCAACTTGCATCACAAAAAGAAAAAAAAGTTCGAAGTCTCAATTCCTCACAAAAAGCTCAGCAAGTTTAAAATTAGTGCACAAAAACTAGATAACATCATGACTCAGGTATCAAAAGGTACAAAAAATAACTAACAAAAGAATCTAATTATATCCATTAAATCAAAAGTATAGCAAAGTTACAAAATCAGGGCCAATGTAGCTCATTTATAAGTTGCACTCACTTTCAATCTTTTTCAATATTGCTATCAGGAAATTCTCAGAAGTAACAGGAAGGATCCTTAAATCTATGATAGAGCACACATCTAGCCACCAGCCTTCAAATGCAATCATCACCCCATCAAAATAACAGTCATCCAACAAACACTAAGTCGTCTTTATGAACAACACAGAGGACATCATCTAGCTTCCAAGTAAACTCGGCAATGGTTGCTTCAGCCTAACCCTTAGCCTTCACAACTGTGGAAAAATCAATAGCAGTCGCCTCAGCCCAATTTTGGCCTCTCACGAAAAAACTTGCTCACATACTTGCACAAGCCATACACGTCAACAAAGGTATCCAAGAACAGAGGAAACAAATAGTGACAGAAATGATCTAATTCTCATGGCCTCACCTCTTGTATTTATAGTCTGAATCTAGCAAAAGTAGATCAAAACATCTCAAATCAAATTCAATGCGAAAGATCCCACCATTTTGTATCATCATTACAAAATCAAAGCAGTAATATTGCACTCGCTCTCAACGTCCGCAGCGACAATTCTTGAAATCCATTGGACACCTGCTGTCTTATCCTATTCGACGAAATTTCATTGCAGGTCATTTCAAGAAGCCAAAGATCTTATTCATGAAAAAGGAAATCACGCCCTTGTTTGCAGACACATAATGATTACAACAACAACAACAACATCAAGCCTTTATCCCACTACGTGGGGTCGGCTACATGAATCCTTTTTCTCCATTGTGTCCTATTTAAAGTCAAATTCTCGTTTAAATCTAATAAAGAAAGGTTATTCCTAAAATTTTCTAACCAAATCTTTTTAGGTCTACCCCTACCTTTCTTAACATAAGTCAAATCTAATATCTCTACTCTCCTAACCGGGTCATCGGAAGGCCGCCATTTTATGTGACCAAACCATCTAAGGCGACTCTCTCTAATCTTATCTTCTACTAGAGCTACTCCAACCTTTTCACGTATATGCTCATTTCGTATCCTATCTCTAAGAGTAATAGATGGGGATATTTTTAGTAGAATTCAAATTGGATGAATGAAGTGGAGGAAAACATCAGGCTTGTTGTGTGATAGAGAAGTATCACTCAAACTTAAGGAAAAATTCTATAAGATGGTAGTAAGGCCTGCAATGCTTTATGGTGCCGAATGTTGGCCATTAAAAGAGAAGCATAATACTAAGTTACGTGTGGCAGAGATGAGGATGCTCAGGTGGATAAGTGGCTTTACCCTTAGAAATAGGATACAAAATGAGCATATACATGAAAAGTTTGGA